GGCCACAGCCACCTCCTTCGTCTGACGTCGCTGCACTCACCTGACGCCGCCACGCTCGTCGGACGCCGCTAGGCCAGCTACCTGGTCCAGGGAGGCGCGCGTCTCTTCGTCAGCATCTTCTTCAACGACGCCCGCAAGCTGCTCGACAGTTTTCCCCCAAGGTACAAATGGACTTCGCCAATGAGTTCCTTTTCCATAATTTTTTCTACAACTCCGACGATTCATCATCCGATGATGAGGAGTTGGTGGCTGATGTGTTGGTCCATGACCACCTTAATAGGCATCGGTTGTTCTGGGGCTCGATCCAGGGCATATTCTGGCATTGAATCACAACCGACAGAACGGTTCTTTCCTTCTTTGGAAGGACTACTTTGATGCAGCCAACCAGTTGTTCAAACATACCAATTCCTGCGGCGTTTTCATGTGGCTAGGTATGTTTTCAACCGTATTGAGGGGGTGGTCGGATACAATAAGTATTTCGAGTGCAAGAAGGATGCCCTTGGAGAGATTGGCTTCTCATATTATCAGAAATGCACTGCAGCTATCCGGATGCATGCATACGGAGCGCCCAGTGATCTCATTGATGAGTACGTCTGTATGAGCGAGTCTATGTGCCTAGAGTCCATGTACATGTTCTGCAAGGCTATGGTTGCAGTGTTTGACCCTGAGTAGTTGAGATAGGCGACTGCTGAAGATACAACCCGCTTGTTGGCGACCAATGCCAGCAGGGACTTCCCTGGGATGCTTGGCAGCATAGACTGCATGCACTGGGAGTGGAAGAACTCTCCTTCTACTTGACAAGGGGGCATGTCAAGGCTTGCACTGTCATAATTGAGGCTGTGACCTCACAAGATCTCTGGACCTGTCACTCTTTCTTTGGCATGGCCGAACCGTGCAATGATATCAGCGTGCTTCAATGCTTGTCAGTGTTTCCAAGGCTTGCCGAAGGCAACAGCCCGCCGGTCAATGTTAGCATCAACTGCCACAACTACAACAAAGGATACTACCTAGCTGACTGCATCCATCTTTAGTGGACCACTATTGTGAAGACAGTCCCCAACCCTGTCGGAGAGAAGCGGAAAAGATTTGTCCAAGAACAAGAGAGTGCTAGGAAGGATGTCGAGCGTGCCTTTGATGTTCTGCAATCTCGATGGGGCATCGTTCGGTATCCTGCTAGAACTTGGAACACCAAGAAGTTGTGGGAGGTGATGACTTCTTGTGTGATCATGCATAATATGATCGTAGAGATGAGTGCCCGAAACGTATCTATGATCAAGGGTTTCAGTTTCAGGGACAATGTTGTGCCTGAGCATGAAGGAGGCGCGCCAACGTTTGAACAGTTCACCCAATTTCATCATCAAATGCATGATTGGAAAACTCATATTCAGCTACAAGATGATTTGATTGAGTATATGTGGCTCATGTTGAAACCAATAGATGTATCTTTTTTAAAATATATTTGAGACAATTTAATTTTTATTGGGCTTGTAATCTATGATATGTTTATTTTGATTGTGAAACTACACTATTTTTATTTGCTTGTGAAACTATGTAAAATGTGTGTATATTCGTTAAAAACGGCGGCAAGTCGGCTACACGGGCAAATATGGATTGACGCATTGGACGCAGTGCCGACTCAAATCAAAAAAGGCGGAGGCCTAGCAGACGGCTGACCCAAATAAAAAAAAGGACAGACGCCTAGCGGACGACTGACCCAAATAAAAAAAGCACAAAGCGTGTGCGCAAGGCGCGTTGGAGTTGCTCTTCTATACCTACTAATAAAAGAAATAGATATTTTTAGTCCATTTTGCTATTTTATAGAAAATCCACTAATGTTTTTACATTAAACCCGCAGTATATATCAAATATTTTTTAAATACTCATATCTTCTAAATGGTAACTCAAATTTAACATGTTATATATGAAATTTGATTATAAAAATATGTAGAATCTAAATATGATGTTAGTTTACATGTTAATAATTTTTTCTTAAAAAATACTATATAGGCTGCAATATTAATCAACAATGCATTATCCTTTTTCTTCATACCGATACTGATTTAGATTGGGGATCAACACCTCAGAAAAATCAGGATTGGACATGAAATTGAAGATAAATAAGGACATGCATAACAAGAAATAAAAGTAAGACCCAATAAAAATGGGATGTCCGCTATAAAATAAATAAAAGAGAAAATGCAGAGGAGATCCGATAAAGATGAGATATTATGCTATTCACCTATATATAAGAAGGTATGAAATAGGGACCAGTAACTATGACATGTCTGACAAGAAATAGTGACGAAATAGGGGCACAAGTACCTGTGTCCACAAGAGACCATACAAAAATGTTTTTTTCGACAAAAAAAAATCTCTTTTTATGATTAAAAATCATGTATCTTTTTAACAACTCTTCATGTATTTAAGAAATAGCTATAAATTTTCTCAGATTATAGACATTTTTTGTAAATTAAGGGTGTGTGGTATTTTTTCTCCCGTTGCAACGCACGGACCTTTTTGTTACTCTTTCCCTAATAATATAGCGCATATTGTTTCTGGACGGACCTTTTTGTTACTCTCTCCCTAATAATATAGGCGCGCACTGTTTCTGGTTGTCCGTTGCCGTGCATTTTGCAGAAAAGTCCCCGCACTTTCGCAAAATCAACCTGCGGTCCCAACTTAAGTGAGAGCAGGAAAACATTTTATATTTTTCAAAATGTTTCGGCTAATCAACCACAATCCTATTTTAATAGAAAGATTTTCGATTTATTCAGAAAACCCCTGACATTCTGGTTAATAAAGTCATTGTCTGTCTAGAAATAACGTTTTTATATAGATTCAAATATTTTTTAAAAATATTTATATCTTTTAAACCATAACTCCAATTTTAACATGTCTTGTATGAAAATTGATTAGAAAAATATGTAGAATATGAATATATTATTATTATTTTTACCCATGAATCATTTTTAAATGTTGTTTAGGGACATATTTAAATGCTTCAAAGAAATATTCATATCTTTTAAACCCTAACTCCAACTTTTACTTGTTATATATGAAAATTGCTTAGAAAAATGTGTAGAATCTGAATATGATGTTTATTCACATGGTTAATAATTTTTAAAATGTTATTTAGGATGCAACGTTAATCAGTAGTGCATAATCCATCTTTCTTTCGTATCGGTGCCGGTTAAATTGAAAATGAACACCGCAAAAAGACAAATTGGAGACGAAAGAAACCATCTATGACCATGCATGTTCGTGAGTGAGGGTGTGAAGAAGTATAAATGGCAAGACTGATAATATGTCATGTTAAAATAAAAAATGTGGACCTAGTGGTTTTGAGTCATGGTTTACTTGGCTTAAACACTAATTAAAACACCAAAAGACAATTTCTACAGAGGTAATAATGTGTATTTATTGAAAAACAAAACAAAAAATAAAAGACACAAAAACAAAATTGGGTTGATTCCCAACAAGCTCTATTGTTTAACGTCCGTAGCTAGGCATAAAACATAGATCTAGGTATTGTCATCTTTATATTAGGAACGTATGGTATTTTCTCTCCCGTTGCAACGCACGGCCTCTTTGCTAGC